CCCTGCACTCCTTACAGCGCTTCCGGTCTAAGTGAAAATAGTGGTGCTCGCAGTGGCAATCACGGATGGCGCCGTGTACAACAGTCAATGAACGATAGAAATCACCAGCACTCCGTACATGAAAAAACAAAAAAGTCAATTTATTTGGACTAAACATCACACATATCGCATAATCCAATGTTTCGGGACCGCGCAGAGTCCCTTCATCAGTGCAGAGATGTGACCTGCTGGAGGGACTCGGTGTGGTCCCGAAAGGAACATATATATATATATATACATATATACACATACACACACACATACACACCTGATCTTTGGAGCCAGCTTGCTCATAAACTCCAATCACACCTGAGAGTTAAAATGTGTCAAAAATTGCGCACTTTGATGCACATTCGCAAAACAAGCTTGCTGTGCCATTAACAGCTAACTCTGGTGTGCTGGTGACATTTCTAAAATACATTGTGAAGTGCAGCACCATCTGCAATCGCTTCAGCACCCATCTTTCAGCACAAAGGGCATTCGGTAAATAGTGCGGCAGTTATTACCAGTTAAAGGCACCTCAAACGCGTTAAAATGTGCACAAACGCAGAGGGGAAAAACGTGGAACACGTCGCAGATTTTGCTACGTGTACTTCTTTCCAGTGTTCAGGACCCCTGATATCATAGGACAAACGAATGCGCACAAATGCTCGCTGCCGCTACGCTTAGGTGTGAATTGGGCCGTAGACTGGTCCCTGCAGACTCTCTCCCCCTCCGCTGCAGCAGTCTAAGGATCTTCGAGTCATCACATTCTGTACACAGTGTATAGGACGGGAGAATGCTGAGGGACATACCATCACTGCAGCGGAGGAGGCTGGAAGGAATGATTTAACAACCACCCGTCTCCAAGGATTGGGTGAGTTACTTTTTAACCTAGGCAAAAAGGAACACTTAACCCTTGAAGAGCAGGGGTAGCCCCACTACAAGGGTTAAGAAACAAATTACCCAGACTTTAATTCCTAGGTAGTATCTGCCTCCCACCTCTGCAGAAATTGCGGGGTGAAATCTGGCGGGGGGGCAACTAACATTTTCTAAGTCTGAGACAGTGCATGTCTGACTGGTTCCCCCCGCCCACACATGTCCTCAAAAGGAGTCAGCGACCTATCCATCTGTAGCGAGGCAGGGATTGCCAACAAAAAATGCCGGAGTTGGTAGGTAGTCCAAGCATCCAGGGGTGGTTCCAGTAAAGCTCTCAGAGCCGGTATTCCCATCCAACTTCCCCCAACCCTAAAGTCCCGAACCCGAAATTTGTTGAGTCCTATGAGAGTGCGTAGGCGTCGGTTTTCCATACCCACTGGGAAGTCCGGGTCTCCTATCACTGGGGTGAGCGGGGAAGGGAATGGGGAGATGGACGAGGAGCGAAACAAGGCCCTCGCAATTCTGAGTGTGGCTCCGATTGTAGGATGTCGGACGCAAGACGCGGTTATGGGGCTTGAAAGCCACGGGAGACCTGACAGCGGGATTGGTGAGACCTCTATGTCCATACGCCCCCACCGTTTGTGAGTGGGGTGAGAACACCAGTCCACGACTCTATACAGATGTACCGCTTTGTAATAAAGGTTCACATCGGGGAGCCCGATCCCACCCGCTGATTTGGGCATCGTAAGAAGGCGTCTGGCAATTCTGGAAACCCCATTTGCCCAAACGTAAAGCGAGAACATTCTGCGTAGGCGAGAGAAGAACGAAGGTGGTAGACGAATGGGCAGCGCTTGCATCAAATAGATTATTCTGGGAAGTATGGTCATTTTAAGAGCGTTGCAGCGTCCAAACCATGTCACCGTTAGCGCCTGCCACGCTCTTAAATCCTGTTTAATCCGTGACAAGAGGGGGGCAAAGTTGGCCTCATACAGCGACTTCAGGTCCGCCGTGATATGGGTGCCTAAATATGGTAGCGAATGAGCCTCCCATTTGAAAGGAAATGCGGCCCGTATCGCGTCCCGTTCCACCTGAGGTAACGTGATGTTCAGCGTCACCGATTTGGACCAATTGATCGCCAGGTTAGAGAGGGAACCGTAACATTTGAACTCCCTCATGAGTTCAGGGAGGGAGACCTGGGGCTGCGTGACAAAAAATAGCAGGTCATCCGCATATGCGGAGACCTTGTGTTCCATGGAGTGCGACCGGAAGCCTGAGATCCCCCCATTCATCCTAACATGACCCAAAAAGGGTTCCAGAGCGAGGATGTACATCAGCGGGGAAAGTGGGCATCCCTGTCGCGTGCCGTTTGTGAGTGGGAAGTATGCGGATCTAGCTTCATTGACTTTGATAGCCGCTGTGGGGTGGGAATAGAGCGCGGATATCCATGAGAGCATATGTGGACCGAGGCCGATATGGCGGAGAGTTGACTTCAAAAACATCCAGTCCACTCTGTCAAACGCCTTCTCGGCGTCGGTCGAAAGGACCATCACCGGAGAAGACGTGGAGCATGCCTCATGAATGACATTGAGAACCCGCGTAGTACTGTCCCTAGCCTCTCTGGTGGAAACAAATCCCACTTGGTCATCTTGAACTAAAGTTTGAATAAATGGGGAGAGTCTGGTGGCTAGAATCTTCACGAAGAGTTTTAGGTCCACGTTTAATAGGGCTATAGGGCGGTAACTACCACATTGTGCTGGGTCCTTCCCTTCTTTAGGAATCACTGCTACATGCGCCCTCAGTGAATCTATTGGAAGGGGACGGTGTTGCAGAATGGAGTTGAAGGCCGCTACAAAATGGGGGACAGCTGATCCAAGTACTTCCGATAATAAGGGATCGTGAAGCCGTCCGGGCCCGGCGCCTTGCCGGACTTGGATTGCTTCAGGGCCCCCGCTAGCTCTTCAGCCGAAATCGGGCGGTCCAAGCCTTCCCTGTCAACACATGGGGGGAGAGTGCCGCCCCACAGCGCCCCCTAGAGAGATTTTTTTTAACCCTGTTTTGGTCTCTCATTTCCTTTAGAAGTATCGCCCTCTTATGTGAATATTGTCATTATAGTCCCTTTTACATCCAGTCTCCAATGTTCTGATTGGCTACTTCACAGTTTTTCTCTAGGAAAGCCAGATGTCATGTGACTTGAGGTAAAACAAACATATACTACTGCCTTAGGAATCAGCGCGCTCTTACCTGGACCTGGAGTTACTTCTCATCCACCAATCAGCATTAGTCCTTCCATGACTGTCTGAGCCTGATCTCAGCCCAGTTGCTGGTCAGAACATGTGGATACATAACTTTGTGTATCACTTTGTATATCATTTTTTTATTACACAGACAGAAAAATAGAGAATTTTACTGATTGTGGTTACAAAGCTTTACTGGCTCCAATCACTTCCGGGTGGTCCGGTGGTAGAGGCCAGTCCGCAAGAGCAGGTAAGAGGTGCTGGGAGGGAGATGCAGCCCCGACCAGCCCACCTGAGACCCCTGCTGAGCCCACCATAGAGAGTCTCAGATGGGCTGTGCAGCATCTATTGTGTGCTCTGCAGGGTCACTCTCAGGTGGGCTGTGTGGGGTCTCAGGTATGTGTGGGGTCTCGGGTAGGTCCCGAGTCCAGCGCGTTACCAAGCCCAGAGGCAGCGCGTTACCAAGCCCAGAGGCAGCGCGTTACCAAGCCCAGAGGCAGCGCGTTACCAAGCCCAGAGTCCATTTAATATAATGTTCTGCATTGCTGTAGAATGTATTACAGGGATTTGTAGCACTGCTACAGGTGGCCTAAAGCTCTGTAAGGGGCCCCAAAATTTCTGATGGCTGCCCTGGCTCCAATGCAGAAAACACATACATGCTAACTTGTCCTTTGATGAAGAAGGGTGCGTTTATTTTTATTTTCTAAAAGGTGAACTTTGCCAACAGTGCAACTTTCCTCCAGACAACACAGAAAGTCCAGCAGCTGATTAGAAGGAGCCCGGCCCCCCATTCAGCGCTCACTTAGCAAGGGGCATGCTGAAACAAATTATGCTGAAACAAATTATTTCTTCAGAACAGAAACAGGTAGAAATATGCTATGAAGTTTGTTAAAATCATTGCAATGTACACTGATCACCCAGGAGGGGGGATTGTTTTTTTTTTCTCAACATAAGTGGAGTTACTCTTTAAGTACCTGAATCTGGCTTCTCATCAGCCACTTGTAATCCGCTGTCCAGCAGCATACAGGCTGGGAGGAGGGGGGGGGGCAGCATCATGATCCAATCCGATGTACTGCATTCACAACTGATGACTAGGGAGATGCAGCCAGGATGATAGAGAAGAGACAGGGGGATAGACTGTCGTTGCTTAGTTACCGTGCAGAGACGTCCCTATAATGAGGCAGTTTGAGGCTACTGCCTCAGGTGGCATTTCTTTGGGTCACGTTGGAGGGGCGGCAGGCAGCATGGCTGCTCTGCTGCAGACTGCTTGTAGTGGACCTGCCACCCCCTTTAGGGCCAGATCGTTCCTGGTTGCTAAGACCCGGGCAGAGAGATGCGCAAAGGCCATGATGGCGCAGGGCCCATAGCATGCACGGCACGGCACTCCCCGCCAGTGAAAATGCTAGGGATGCCCCTGGGCTTGGGACATGGGGTAACCAAACAGATTTCCTTGGTTGCAATAGCTAAAAGGCCAGGTCAGCAGCCTTGCTGAGCTGTGTAGGTATCAGAACTGGATGGACACATATACAAGCAGCTCCCTTATATTTCAACCATGTAGTTGTCAGCCTGAAGTCCAATACAATAAAGTCAACGCTGTTCCTTTCCATCCCCCATACCGGCTACATGCCATCCCTCCCTTCCATCTAACGTCCCAGCACCCCAAGCATAGCCGACAGGTGCAGAGCTCTCCCCCGCCCTCTGCCTCCGCACCAGGGACCAGCGTAGCCCATCCACGACGTCACCTCGGCGTGCTGTGCAGCGTCTAGAAGAGGGCGTGGCCCCCTGGAAACCGAACATCCTGAGCGAGAGGGCGTGGCCAGGCAGGAGCAGCCAGTGTAGGAGGTGATGGCGCGGGGCGGGCGTGGCAGAGGGAGTGACGCAGCGTGTTCTGGCCCCGCCCTCCCCTCCGTACTCTATTCGCTGCGGGATCCGGAATTGTGCAGCGCGCGGCTCGGGACTCTCCATGCTCCGGTAAGGGTTTGGCAAAGGGGAGGGAGATGGGGGAGGAGGATGTCCGCAGGTGCCGCACCGAACAGAGGTGTGTGCGGGAGGAGGCGGGGCGCACCAGGCGGTGACAGGTTCCTGGCCCCGGGGATGGAGGTGAGAGATCATAGATCAGGGCACAATCGTATTTGCTGGGTGTCAGTGGATTGTCATCTGAGCCGTGCAGCTGCACATGGCTCACCCCTAGCCACCTCCACTGGCACGTTATTTGCATACAGTGCGCCTACTCACTGCTGGAGCTTTGCATTGTTTACTGTGTGCACGATAAACGCTGTGCAGGGTCTATAGGGATGTTGTAGACACGATTCATATCGATTACATATTGATACAGAGCTGTCACTGTACAAATAACAAATATGTATTGTGATTTCTCCAATGACGGCTGATCGGACTTTATTGGATGTCCTTGGTGAAAGGTGCATGGATGAGGTGGATACAATGTATCCCTTGGCTTCCATTCCATGTATCACATGTATCCTCTCACATGGCTTGTATGGATCACCTTCAGCACCTCAATATGAACATCAGTCCACATGATAGTCCCCATTCACACCTGAGCGCTTTGTCATCCTTTCCCAAAGCACAACAACGCTCAACGATGAAGGATCCCATTATTGTCAATGGTGCCCGTTCACACCCGATTGGTCCCTTTTTTTGAAGTCCCCCCCTCCCCAAAAGTACATAAGCTTCTTATTGGGCAGAATGGCGCCTGAAAAACTAGCGATTGCTAGCTGCGATTAGCCCCCATTCACACCTGAGCGTTGTGTCGCTTGGAAAAGTACATACGCTGTTTCCGGAGGGAGAATATTGTGTTTTTGCCCCATAGAATGCAATAGGAGTGCTTGAAAAATGCACATTTATGAACCTAACAACCATTTCCTCCTTTTAGTATCTAGAGTTTTATTGGCTAAAGCAAAATCGCTCAATTCTCAACTCGTACCGACTGCAAAATGGAAAAAAAGGCAACAAAATTACGCTCAAGTGGGAATGGGGGCCAAAGTCTGTATACACCTTTGTATTGGTTAACATCACATACCTAATATCTATCTATCTATCTATCTTATATCAATAGGTAGATATACACAGATATATGTGTGTGTATGTATGCGTAGATATAGATATATACACAGAAATAGATAGATATTGATATAAATAGATAGAAAACCCCAGATATATATAGATCTTGATACAGACTATCTATCTATCTATCTATCTATCTATCTATCTATCTATCTATCTATCGTATATAGATAGACATTTGTGTTATGTACTACAGTATTTATTTAGCAGGTACATGTGGCTCATTTATAAATCCCCGTCATGTTATATTGCACAGGACGTTATGTCATCTCTAACATGGCAATCCATATTCCATCTGTTGGGTGACATACGGATCATCATTTGTCATGGTATACAGTATATATTGTATTTCACAACTGACGGTCGTCCTCTGCTGTCTGTTTCCATTCCCTGGCTCCCTAGTGTACATTCTGCTGGATGCATGGATTGTGTATTCATTCTCATATCGCTCACACCTGCAGTTGTGTTGTACAGCTCATTCATTCCTCACCTGATAGCTCTGATTACAGTCACACGGTGCCGTTTATGCAGTATGGCTGTGCAGAGATTACCAGTGCTGTGCGGAATGTTGTGACAGCCAATCGGATTGCAGTTTATGATAGATCAGGGTGAAGGTGACTCCTGGTTGGTTGGTATGGGTTTATGCCTCAGTGCTGGTCATTCATTCATTTCCTTTGTGTTGTATAAGTTTGGTCCAGGACTGATAAATGAACGATGTGGCAAAACATAAATATTGTTCATGGATTCATCACACACAGGGACATTTATATGTTTATCTTTTAAAAAAGAACTCTGGGCAGGCTAAAACGTAACCCTTGCCATGGGGCTACCGCCGCACTGGAAGAGTTAAGTGCTCGTTTTTGTCTAGGGCAGGGGTGGGCAACTCCGGCCCTCCAGCTGTGCTTGAACTACAAATCCCAACAAGCCTCTGCCTCTGGGAGTCATGCCTGTAACTGTCAGTCTTGCAATGCCTCATTGGACTTGTAGTTCTACAGCAGCTGGAGGGCCAACTCCATGAATCATCACGTCTAATACACTGTATTGGACGAGAGGCTGCAGGGACCAATCTAGCTTCTTGGCTGGACCGTGGATCGGGTGAGCATATCTTTTTTTTATTTGACACCCTTGACTAAAGCAGCAGTTAACCCTTGCAGTTGGGCTTTCCCCACACTGCAGGGGTTACGCTTTATTCTGCCCGGGGTTGTTGTTTAAAGCTGAGCTGCGGAATAAGCAAACATTGTCTAATACAAGAGGTATATTTATTCTTACTGGGATCCTGGTGAGCTTTGTGTATTTCTTCCAGATCTGGGCAGTAATCCCGTGTAAAACGTGCAGCTTCCTGTGTTAAAGACCGCTTACTGCTGCTCTCTCATCTTGTGCAGGGTGACAGGTCTTGTCTCCACCCCCTCCTGTAGTTTTCTTCAGGCGACCTGTAGTAGGTGGGGCCTGCTCGACCCCTCCCACTGCTCTACTCTCTGCACAGGTTATAGAAACAATGATGATGTCACTGCTGCGTTTTCAAGGTAATATCTGGATATACGAAGACATTTGATGCCCACAAAGTGGATTTATATCCTTTGTGGATATTGGGGAATACATTTCAATTACTATTTAGTGTTTCCCAAATTTCTTTTAATCTGCATGATTGTGTCTTGAATAGAATTGTCATTTTGTCCATTTTTCTTCCTTGTGACGGCCGGTGCCTACTACGGCATTTCTATTTATAGAGAACGTTTATTGATTTCTATCAGTCGGCGCTGTGTACATGAACAGGGTTCTGGAGTGAAACAGCAACTTTACATGATGGCATAAGCCGTCCCACATTGGGGTGTCAGAAAACAGTCGTGTCCATAGTGAGCAGTCATAGTATCTCAACCTTCATTTTGGGTGAACTGCCAATAGAGAGAGATAAATGGCTTCCTTCCAGGTAACACAGACAGTTCTACTTTCAGACAAGACTTGCAGGGTTATTCAGTAAAGGGTGAAGAGTTTGGAGAAGTCAGGAGAAGTTAACAATCTAGGACAACATAGCTAAACTGGAAGAATTCTCCAATTCCGCTCACTTTCCAGATCAACTATGTTGTCCTATATTGTTCACTTCTCCTGCCTTCTCCAAACTCTTCACCCTTCTGTGAATAAACCTGGTAGTCTCTTCTACCTGATGGCTGGCCGAAATTTTGGGGATTTTAGGTTAGTCCTAAATAAATGGAATTCATCCTTCACATGATTGGCCAAGTTCCTGATAGCTGCATGTGTGACATGGCATTCTGTCCTTTCACCGCCTGTGATGAGCAGATGTGTAATGACTGGTGCAGCAGTTGGAATAAACCTCTCTAGAAGCTGGAGTGTGATGTCACTGATAGGTTAGCCACACAGAGATGCAAACAGAGGCAGAGAATAAGAACAAGCATGCAGCCAGTGAAGTCAGAACCCTGATTATGATTTATTTAGTACAGATATTTTTATAGCGCTGACAATTTACGCAGTGCTTTACACAGTGCACATTACTCCCAGCCCCAGTGGAGCTTACAATCCAAGGTCCCTTTCTCACATACATACAGAGCCAATTTAGACAGGGACAGAGGGAGAAGCGCCCTGTGTGGACGCGGCGCAGAGGGAGAAGCGCCCTGTGTGGACGCGGCGCAGAGGGAGAAGCGCCCTGTGTGGACGCGGCGCAGAGGGAGAAGCGCCCTGTGTGGACGCGGCGCAGAGGGAGAAGCGCCCTGTGTGGGCGCGGCGCAGAGGGAGAAGCGCCCTGTGTGGACGCGGCGCAGAGGGAGAAGCGCCCTGTGTGGACGCGGCGCAGAGGGAGAAGCGCCCTGTGTGGGCGCGGCGCAGAGGGAGAAGCGCCCTGTGTGGACGCGGCGCAGAGGGAGAAGCGCCCTGTGTGGACGCGGCGCAGAGGGAGAAGCGCCCTGTGTGGACGCGGCGCAGAGGGAGAAGCGCCCTGTGTGGACGCGGCGCAGAGGGAGAAGCGCCCTGTGTGGACGCGGCGCAGAGGGAGAAGCGCCCTGTGTGGGCGCGGCGCAGAGGGAGAAGCGCCCTGTGTGGGCGCGGCGCAGAGGGAGAAGCGCCCTGTGTGGGCGCGGCGCAGAGGGAGAAGCGCCCTGTGTGGGCGCGGCGCAGAGGGAGAAGCGCCCTGTGTGGGCGCGGCGCAGAGGGAGAAGCGCCCTGTGTGGGCGCGGCGCAGAGGGAGAAGCGCCCTGTGTGGGCGCGGCGCAGAGGGAGAAGCGCCCTGTGTGGGCGCGGCGCAGAGGGAGAAGCGCCCTGTGTGGACGCGGCGCAGAGGGAGAAGCGCCCTGTGTGGGCGCGGCGCAGAGGGAGAAGCGCCCTGTGTGGGCGCGGCGCAGAGGGAGAAGCGCCCTGTGTGGGCGCGGCGCAGAGGGAGAAGCGCCCTGTGTGGGCGCGGCGCAGAGGGAGAAGCGCCCTGTGTGGGCGCGGCGCAGAGGGAGAAGCGCCCTGTGTGGGCGCGGCGCAGAGGGAGAAGCGCCCTGTGTGGGCGCGGCGCAGAGGGAGAAGCGCCCTGTGTGGGCGCGGCGCAGAGGGAGAAGCGCCCTGTGTGGGCGCGGCGCAGAGGGAGAAGCGCCCTGTGTGGGCGCGGCGCAGAGGGAGAAGCGCCCTGTGTGGGCGCGGCGCAGAGGGAGAAGCGCCCTGTGTGGGCGCGGCGCAGAGGGAGAAGCGCCCTGTGTGGACGCGGCGCAGAGGGAGAAGCGCCCTGTGTGGACGCGGCGCAGAGGGAGAAGCAGCTGCCATTATCTCACATGTGTTTATTGGAGCTGATTACATTTCTTGTGTATGGGGTGCGGGGCCCAGATACTGTATCTGGTGAATAAATAAGGGACGGGCCCCGTGTGCACCTGTCTCTGCTGTGTGGGTGATCTGAGCCC